ATAGTGAAATTTTCTTCCACGTGGGAGATGTGTTGGACTAGATGTTGGGATAACATGTATATCTTCTTAAACTAGTTTAAAAACAGTTTGACATTAATAATAAATCAATGCAGAAAGCTATAAAATAACACAAGAGATTGGTAACATAGTTCATTAAAATCACACCTAATATGGAAGCAGGTCACTTATCGAGGATTAATGATGGTAAATTTGAATAATTACCCATTAATGATGATTTCCCCTATAATAGGATGATAGCATTTGTTAGAGCCAAAGTGCCTCGCTATGCTCATCTCGCTGATTTTCTCGAGTTAGGAAGCTCTAATATAAAATATAAAAAGATAGAGGAGGCAATATCTATAGCCAAATCTATAGTTTCGTGGTACACTAATTATATCAACTATCTCGTTGTTAGTGTCTTGCCCATATCCCGACTTGACCTATAAACAAAAGAAAAGATTAGTTATTATTGGGATGACCATATCCTATTCAAAAGAGGTGTTGACGATATTTTCTGCAGATGCGTTCTTGATGAGGAGATCGAGAGCGTTATCACCCACTATCACTTTTCAACCTATGGAGGGCACACGATCATATCAAATACCACTGCTAAGATTCTCCAAGCTGACCTTTATTGGTCCATATTTTTAGAGATGTCCATATTTTCACCACGGAGTGTGACCGGTGCCAGGGCATTAGAAACATTTCAATGCGAGATGAAATTTCATTAAAGAATATCTTAGAAGTAGAGATCTTTGACGTCTAAGGGATCAATTTTATGGGTCATTTCCATCTTCAAATGGGAATAAATTTATACTTGTCGCTCTTGACTACATGTCCAAATTGATTGAGGTCATTGCCTCTCCCACAAATGATGCACAAGTCATAATTAAGATGTTCAAGAACGTCGTATTCTCGAGACTCGGCACCCTTAGACAAGTTATCAACGATGGTGGCTCACACTTGAGGTTGAAAAATGTTTCCACCTCAAGGAAAGATTGGTCTACAAAGCTAAATGATGTATTTTGGACATATAGGGCAACTTATAAAACTCCTATATGAACCACACTTTTCAAGCTTCTCTATGGTAAATCTTGCGATCTCCCGATATAATTAGAGTACAAAGCCTATTAGGCCATCAAAGTCCTACTAAACATGGATCATACTGTCGCTAAAAGTAAAAGGATGTTAAATTTGCACGAGCTGAAAGAGTTGTAGTTAGATGCGTATGAAAATGCCTTGATCTACAAAGAGAGAATGAAGAAGTGGAATTCCAAATGCATCACCAAGAGAGAATTTAATGAGAGAGAGAGAGAGAGAGCTAGTATTACTGTTTAATTCTAGGTTAAGGCTGTTTCCTTGGAAACTTCGGTCTAGATGGTCAGGACTGTTTGAAGTAACCAGAGTCAGTCAGTCCATAGTAGTGGAAGTATGGAGTAATTCCATTGAAAAATTTGTAGTTAATGGCCAATGTATGAAGCATTACCATCCTTTTAATAATGTGTTAGGACAAGGTTCCGCCTTAGTCCTTTGCCCCCTTAGGGTCGAGCTTAAACGAGTTGAGCTACCGACGTAAAATGAAGCGCTGCATGGAAGACAACCCACAAATTTCTATATTTAGTTTTCTTTAATTATAATACTAAAAGCGGATTAATTATAGTAAAGGCGGAGCAACTGATGCACCCAATGAGCGAAAGAGGAGTGAACTATACACTGGCGGCCGTCCAAAGCTGAAAAACGAATTTTTAACTGCATCAGCATTATAGCTTGTCTGTCATGATGCTGAATGACGTCATCTAAGTTTTAAAAGGATAACGGTCATCCCTTCATGACCATGACACTCATCAAGATGTCAAAATCGCGTTCGTTGAATCTTTTCGTGCTTTTTCCCAATTATTTTCATTTAATCCTCCTATTTTCCCTTATCAAGTGAAGTTCTCACTCTCTCTTTTACCCGGCCAAAAATCTGAACCTTTCTTAAACCATTCTTCACCTACACCTAAAATACCACTTCTTTCACTCCATAAAAACAATAACACCTCCATTAAAGCTCATACCGAAACCTCCATTTTTCTTCGCCAAAAAAGAAACAAAAACCAAATACACAATCACAAACCCAATTTTCTTTCACCACTCTTCTGAGAATGCAGAATTTAGACTACATGGGAATTGCTTTCAAGAATAGCACTCAACAGATGCATTTATAAGAGCTAACTCGGAGAACTATCACATCGACAAGGTGTTTTGACAACCTTTGCCTTAGAACATTATGTCTTTTAGACAATTTGCTTTTCATATAAAATCAAGTAGCTCGACCATGCGTCACCCGACTTGTGAGTTTCTTAGCTCGCTTGACTATTATTCTCGCCAAAGCAAATCAAGGTAATGGCAGAACTGTTTTTAGGTTGTTTGGAACCATGACGAAGTCGGCGAACTGTTAAAGTTCCAAACCAGCCCCGATGTTGTCATTGAAATTTCTACTGATAACTTTGGGCAACTTAAATTCAGTCCTTTTTGGGAACGGCTAACCAGAGAAATTGCATCTAATAAATCTTCCCAAATTCATAACCCGGCAATCTGGTACTTTCAAAAGGTCTTGGGAAAAAACTATTTTTAGTAAGAACGACAATACGGGGACCGTTAATATGAAAGAATTATTTATTATTTTTTGTGTATTTCATTCCCGCCCACTCCACACAACGGCATTCAAGTTAAAGGTTTGATCACCTTCATAGCCTGAGTCGTAGGTTCGGAAAAATAAGTTGCACGTCTTATCCCCTTGAGGGAAGTACTTCTCTAGATCTCAACTCATGTCTATCTCAAAATTTAGTCAAACTTAAGAATACAAATAAGTTTTATCTATGATTAACAATGAGGTAATTGAAACTATTGTGTTGCCTAACCTGAAGCTAACCAATGTTCATGTTAACCAAAACTGGTTGTAATCTATAAAAGCTATGGAAGATTCAGATAACCGTCACGTTACCCCTCCCCCATATTTGTCTACGGTTGCACTTACCACCATTGCAGTAGTGTTGTTGACTATGAGCTCAACATGCTTCGCCATAAGGTCACCATTTTACGCCTTGAAGTTCAAGCAAGAACTGACTGCTTTACACGCTCCATGATATCATGACGCATTACAACTGAATAAGACAAGTCACATGAATAATGTGACACCCTCTTCATGCTTATTGCTCTACATGTTTTGCCATTAGTGATCAGATTCTGAGTTATGTTACAGTAATAGATCTATATATTGCCCTTTCATCTCGTGCTACCCCTGCACCAGATGACACTGCTTCCCTTGTGTCCCTTGGCAAGAATCCGAATCACTTTCAAGAAGGTTCATCCAATTTCAAACCTCGTCCCATGTGAATATTGTAATTGACTTAGGCATACTCATGCCAAAGCAAACTAAAAGGAGGCTCGTTAAACTCACTTTGGTATATGCCAGAGCTCGCCTAATGCGTTTGGTATATGCCAGAGCTCGCCTAATGCGTCCAGTGAAAAATCAAAAGTCAAAATAGGAATTCTTAACTAACACATAACATCTCGCCTAATGAGAGACCTGTTATAAGATTTTTGGAAACCTGATTAAAATTAAAATCACCCACTCCAATCATTTTCACACTTTCTTCAACACCCATACAAACAAAAAATCTTAGAAATGCACAAGAGAATAGCGTCCATGGAGAAAAAACACCAAAATTTTACTTTTTTGATCCATTTTAGAAATTGCTCAAGTATGTCATTTTACTCTTTAAATCTTATATACCATAAAATTAGTTGAAAACACACAACACCTAAAGGTTCATAACACACAAAATCCTCATTCTACATCCTATGGTATCAGTTCAATTGGTCATGCATTTATAGTTGGTCTATATTATGTCAACATCATAAAGTAATAAAATCATTTCTAATTCAGTTCTAAATTAGAAAAATATTGGCATAATTTGGCTATTAAGTTGATTGATTGCATACATGAAAAACATGTTAAAACATACTCTAACTTATTTTGAAGTTAACAAATTATTTTATATTCTTAAAGTTTTTAGTGTTTATCTTGTATGTTAAATTATCCATGAACTTTAATAAAAAAAACATGTAAACTCTCTATAAAGAAAATTTTATTCTCGAGAATACGAACATCCTAAAATTCACAAGCAATGTGAGGACACAAAAGCAATATTGAATAACAAGTATCATAAACTAATTTATTTTTTGGTACAAAGAGGGCCTAAGCCCAATCAATACCCGCTTTGACTAACTAATATTTTAATATAAATTGGACAATATACTATGCATTTTATGTCACAAAGTACAAAGGAACTATGTTAATTGTTTCTCAAAGTAACGAGTCCAAGGACATAAAGGTAATTATGATTGTTTGTCATCAAGGTTATTCTTCTCATCCAAGCTTGTAACGGTCTTCTTGTGTCATAACTTTATCTATAAAAAGAAGACTCAAGGCAAGGAAAGACATGAAGAAAAGTGACACTGGTGTCTCATGCAGATTGTAATTATGAGAGAAGTGCAGATTGTAATTATGAGAGAAGTGAGTTGAAGACCAAGGCAAGGAAATGCATGAGGAAATATATTCAATGTTACTCTCAAAACTCTAAATGAATATATTTTATTATTTAAAATCATGTATATAACTTTTCCAATTTGTATTGGCTTGAAACACTTGAGTTAAGACATTTAATTTGCAAATAGTTGTAGGATATTTGTTAATAAAAATAGAGAAACAAGAAGTGAGTTGTAAATTGAAAAATGTGAAAAGAATGTAAAGAAAATGGTAGAAGAATGAGAAATAAATAAATAAAATAAATAAAGATGATTATAGTAAATGGGGAATGTCATAAACAATTACATACATATTAGTATAAATATGTTTTGATTCCTTTCTTCTATCAGTATCTAATTGGAGAGTGAATTTTGTTGTGGGAAAAATCCTTAGTTGTTTCTATAAATCGAGCATCAAAGTCTGTAAAATGAAAGGTGTTGAAGAAATATGTAGAGGAAAATATTATGGAATTTGCTTTGTGGGTGGTATGCTTAGTTCTGGCGCTACCCATCTGGCCATTACTCCTCTGGATGTACTCAAAGTCAATATGCAGGTAACTACCTACCTTGCTTACTTGTCAACACATTCTACTTACTATGCTCATCCATTTCTTCTTTTTTTAGGTTTATCCGAATAAATATAACAATGGAATTGTATCTGGCCTTGCCACCATCTGGAAACAACAAGGTTCTTATGCTCTTTGGAGAGGTTGGTCTGCGAAACTATGTGGATACGGAGTTCAGGGAGGATTCAAATACGCTCTCTACGAGTATTTCAAGAATCTTTATGCCGATCATCTCCTGCTTCATTCTACCAGGAATTCTATTTTCTTTCTTAGCGGGCTCTCTGCACAGATTTTAGCTGATCTCACACTTGCTCCTTTTGAAGCCGTTAAAATTCGTCTTCAGATTCAACCTAATTTTGCTAAGGGTTTATCTGACGGTTTTCCGTTGGTATACCGAAATGAAGGTCTTGCTGGGTAAATTACATTTTACATAACATTCATTCTCTTTATTTTCTTTCTGTCTTTAATTATTGTTTCCTGCAGTTTCTATAGGGGTCTTATTCCGCTGTGGAGCCGCAATCTTCCTTGTAACATATTCTTACTCTGCTTCTAATATTACATTCTTAATACTACTCCCGCAAATATCAATCCTTATTAATCTTTTTGGTTCACAGTCTCTATGGTCATGTTTTCATCCTTTGAGCATTCGGTGGACCTAATATATAAAAATATCATGCATAAAAGAAAGGAGGACTGTTCTACGCCACAACAACTCGGTGTCACGGGCTTTGCAGCCTATACTGCGGGTGCTCTTGCTACTGTCATTTCCAACCCCGCTGACAATGTCATGACCAGTCTTTATAAAAAAAAGGCTGAATCTGCTATGCAGGTATGCCCTGATTCATTTGGAATATGAAAAATTTGTCAAATTAACTTTATTGGTTTTGCTAACTTTCAGGCCATCAAGAACATTGGATTCATAAACCTGTTCACTAGAAGTCTTCCTATTCGCATTGCACTTCTAGGACCAGTTATAACTCTGCAGTGGTTTCTCTATGACACTATAAAAGTGCTATCGGGACTGTAAGTCACTTTTCGTTTTATAAATTTTCCCGTACTATAGTAGGCAATATAATTGTTTTGTGCAAATTTGAAATTTAAGTTTCAGTGTGATCCACTTGATCCAACATAAATCCTAATTATAGGTTTATGTTGATATAGGTTGTGTTTTTGTTGAGCTATCCTTTCACTTAGTTATATTTCTTCTATGATATGCACCAGTGATTTGAAATATTTTAAACTCTTCACTAATATAATAAATCAGGGAAAATTATAATTCATCCCTGTGAGATACACTTTTCAACATTAAAGCCCCTTTATTCATAGGCTTAACTGAATTTTCTGCAAATCTAATATTCCAGACTGCAAGTGACATGTATATGACATGACTCCACCATGAATGGAGAAACATAAAATACTTTGTCTTATGTTCTAAAAAACAATCTTGTACTTCTGTATATGCATCACATTACCATAGGAGTATAGGACAACCCATTCTAATCAATTCCGTGCATACAATTAAGGACCTCTTTGCCAAACCCAGATCTGAACCTCCTACGTTTGCGCCAAACGTGAACCCAAATGCAGCACCGAATTGAGGACTAAATGCAGAAGCAAGATCAGACCATTCCACTCACCATATTTCAGCATCAACCAACAGTACCATCCAAGAAACATATTCAGAAATGTTTGTCCTCGTTAGGATTTAACCCCAGGTGCCACTGGTAGCCCGTTCATTACTCCGACACCATCCGTTAAAGATTTGCATGACCTTTCTGTCATATTTTGCCAGCTTTATCAGACTAGATTCAATAGATCCTCTTCTTGTCCAAGACTTTAGGATTTGTGAGAACTCTTAGACCATCGAAGGCATGGAGGTTACCACCATGATACCACTAAATAGATATTTAGAGTTACAAAAAAGAAACATATATTTAGTTTATTTCTTGTGTGTTTTTATTTTATTTAAAATCTAACATAAGGTGTACATCAGGGAATTAGATTTGGAGCATAGGCACATATCTTTTCATGTTTACATCAATGGAATGTTGAGAAGTTCAAATGTGCATTTCTAGAATATTTGGTTGAACTTAATGACATTAATTCAAGTGTCATGTATTCAATTGAATTCAAATGTATGGGGTGTTTAGTGTCAGGAAAACTTTTGAGGGGAGCTTTTTAGTGATTTGCGTATCTCACCGTAGGTCAATTATAATTTGTCAATAACAAATTTTGACATCATATTCCTAGTTTCATGATAAGCTTCCAATAGTCTTGTTTTGGATGAAGAGAATATTGTGTTTCTGGTACATCTTGTAGGTTTGCTTATTTTGGTCACCATAGATAAATTTCTACACATTGCATGATATTTTGCCTTATATATGCTCTTCAAGCGTGTTATGAGTAGTTTCATACCACCGTTTGGTTTTATAAGGAGATTACATATCCAAGTATAAGTGCGCTTTTTATGTAGACTACCTTGTTTATCATTGGTGTACAATGTAAACTTGTAATATAGTCTTTATGCCAATTAGATATTGATTGATTCTTTTATGTCTTTTACACTTTAGGCCTACTAGTGGAGGACTCGCAAGAGACCAGAAGGAAGTTAAATTGTAGCTATGTGGCGGTTTGGTCTTGTGGGTCTGAATGGTTTCTTAAATTGTAGCTTAGGATAATAAGTTTGCCTTTGAAACCTGCATATCCAGGCTTACATAAAACTCTGAGAAACTTTTTTTTTGTTTGTCTAAGCTCATAGATATATATTTTTTCTTTCATTCTTTTCTTTATTTCAGAGTCAATATATTGAAACATGGCTTCTTTGTATTTGTCATATAAATGCAAAATATGTTTGAATAAGATTTTGGTCGCTATATTAAACCAAATTGATCTTGTGGTCCTCTGAGGTTTTATTTGTTTTAGTATCCACCTATATTAAAAAAATTCTTTGCATTTTGGTCTATGTCTTTAGCTTTCCTATGCTCAATGCTAGTGTAGATAATATAAATCCATGTATGCGGTGATAAGTGTCATAATTTGAAAGATATTTAATCAAGTATGTGATTGACATTATTAAACTTCCTTGTCATATATATATATATATATATATATATATATATATATATATATATATATATATATATATATATATATATATATATATATATATATATATATATATATATGATGCAACTGCTAGCAACTATGTTTTCTAAGTGTAACTTTTAAAAAATAAGACTAAGTTGAAAGATAGATAAAAAAGGAAAACATAAATTTAGGATATTTGTTTTAAATTATTTGTCCTTTTAAAATATCTATGTGATATTCATTATTTTTTTTCATTAACTTACAATTATTTATTGTATTTTAAGTCATGTAACTACTTGGTTACCTATTATTAATAAGATTATTTTAGTAAATGACATTCATTTTATTATTGAAATTAACATAATTAATCATTATTTTAAAAAGTGTGAAAATATTTTAAAAAAAAAACACCTATTGTGAGACAGAAGGAGTATTATTCATCACACTTACTAATGACCAAATACTTTATTAAGTGTTTCTTTACGTGGTCTCTTTTGATCCGATCCTAAAAAAATCATGTAATTATCAATAAGAGAAACTTTAAATATTTAAAAAGAAAATTGCATGGATATCGCAAAACGACATGAGCTTATCATGATACAACGAAAAGCACCGTGACCGCAATCCAAGAAAAAAAATAGCACATTGATACATCGTGGGCGTGATGGTTGCCTTTTTCTGACGTATTTTTACTTCCATAAAAAGAAAAAAAATGTTGGTCATTATTTGATTGGATTTTCACAGCGAAACAATTTCTGAAGCTCTAAATCAAAAGTTTTTATTATCAAAACCCAAGTTCTAACCAAAGTTTCATGTACCATTTATTTTTTTTACTTTAGTTAAGATTCCTATTAGTATGGGTAGCTAAGTTTTTATTGATTAGAACTTGTTAGATGAACTTGTATGAACTTGTTGGGTCATATGTTTGTGTTTCGCATTATTTGTTTATTTGATTAATTCAATATTGTCATTCAGCTTTATTTTGTGTTCATTGCTTTATATATGTTTACGAATTCATATAACGATGTAGAATCATAGTAATCACTGACCATAACTTTATGTTTTAGAACTAAATTAACATGTTTAACATAGTAATTGATTAAAAATAAGAAATTATAAGTTGTGACTTAGGGTTTAACACATTAGATATTGTTTGTTCTAACTTTCCAACTGGCCTAAGGGATTGGGAGTTGTAGATTAGAAGAGTGAGTATACACTTAGAGATTGACTATAACAACTAAGTTAAACCGTCATGATCGTTGAGAAATCAACTTAGAGCAAATAGACATTGACATCGACAATGACATACAGAGGATTCGAAGCAAGGCCTAATCATCGTTATCTGATCAATTTTCCAACAATTTTTTTGCACAATTTTTTTCTCAAATCAAACCTTAAAAACCATATTTTACTTTCAATAACATGTGAATTGCTTTGTTAAAATAAAACAATCTCAGTTGATACAAACTTATAAATTTTATTACACTTGCAAAATTAACACCAAGCTTTTGGCGTTGTTGTCAATGATTATTGAATTATTTAGACAAGACAACTTTTGTGTTACAATTTTTATTTGTTATTTTAATTATTTGTTTTATTCTAGATTCTCAATTTCTATTCTTATTTACTTTTTATCTAGTTCAATGCCACTGGGCTATTTTTCTTCTGATTATACATGCGAGGTAAAGAAAGACATGTATGATATAGCTTGATTTTAAACTTGTTGTGTGAAGGTGAAGAAAATACACAAGAAGGGGGTTAAATTGTATTCGCCAAAAAAATTTATGCTTCTGAACAGAGTTTAAATTCTAAACATTGGTTCAGAATCTGATCAAGCATGCAGCAGAACAATATACCAAAAATGGAGTAAACAAAACAATGAACACATCAGATTTATTCTGATTTCTCTCCCAACTGAGAGTACTATAGTCCCCTTGCCTCACAAGAGATTTTTCACTATAATCAACTCATGATTACAACTGCTTATGCACTCAAGCATAACACTTTTACTGCTCCAACCTACAGTCTAAGAATTCCCTGCTCAATCAGCACCTAATCAAGACTTTTTACTTAGATCCTCAGAACTTAAGACTTTCCTTGCTTAAACCCTCTTGGTTCAAGACTTTCCTGCTCAGACACATTGCCTAAGACTTCCCTTGCTCAAATCCACGATCCAAGATTTCCCTGCTTAGGGGTGTCGTCTAAGACTTCACTGCTCAGACCTTCTGTCTAAAACTTCCTTTGCTCAGATTCATAATCCAAGACTTTGTTGCTTAATCAAAATAGATCAAGACTTTTAATACTCAAGCACACAAAAAGAGACTTATTTGACTCAAGTTTTTCAACTAGAAACTTTGATGCTCAAACACATAGCATGAGACTTTTGATCTTAACTGTTGAACAACATGTTCAGAAGAAAATAGAATAAGGTTTACTTAATCTTGAATTAGAGGTACAAGATAGTAACCTTAACAAATACCTTAAGCTCTCAAGATTTCCAAAATATTCAATGTTTAGGAAACTTTAAGGCTATTTATAATTTACAATAATTAATAGAAAATTTTACATATTCAGTTGCGTTGCTCATTGTTGATCTTGTTATTTATTCATTCAGATAGAGGCGTTGAACACCTTTATCCTATTTGGCATTCCTTCTTCTTTTTATTCCTTGTTAAAGATTCAAGTAGAACCTTCAACTACTTATATAGAAGATTTCAGAGAACTAGCCGTTGGAAGAGATAACTTGATCAAATGTATTTGTTCTCTCCATAGTACAAGAGACGTTGAGGATAGATACACAGACGATCTTGATCCATTGTGTAATTTGTTTAACCATAGTGTCTTCAGAAGTATCATGTACTATAGAGCCATTGAGAGTGGTTATCCGTAAAGCATGTCAACTCTTCTAGAGCCTTGTGATCATAGACTTTAGCTGACAAGCTTATTTGACATTACAACTTGCTTTCTGCAGTACAAATAGCTTCAGCTTCGCTATAACTTCTGAACAATTACCAGAAGCCAATACAATTACCAAGTGTATAAAAAATGTGTTGCTTCTTTTGATATTGAGGCCTTCAGTTTCAGAGTCTACACCAGACATCAGTTAGCAAGTGTTCTTCAGATTATGTATCATCAGAAACACATAACTCAGCTTTACTCAAGTGTGCCTTCATATCAGATTCTGAATATATCTTTTAAGTATAAGAACCTGCATACTCGAACACATATTAGATAACACCATTATTCTTTTAATACTTTTGTTATCATCAAAACTAAGGATATATGTCATGAGTAAAAACTTGTTCTAACACTATGTAAGCACAACTTGAAACTTTATCAAAGCAAATTGCTTTCTTAACTTTAGTTTCAACAAATGTTAATTCAATTAGGGCGTTAAAAGGTGATTTTTATGGTGAAGGTCGCACCAATGATTATTGTGTACCAGAGGGATACGTTGAAGAAACGCATTATATGGGAAATTATCAAGAGATATATCCTTACTTCAACACCTATAACCCATGGTGGGATGAAACTTGGATCGTTGTATATAACCAATCCATAACTCATAGGTTATATATGGAACATCAACTCAATTCATTTCAGATAGTGGAGAGCAAATCATTGTAGAATAGTTCATCCTCCTTACATAGGTTGACGATGAAATTGTCCTACGAGATCTTAGTATCGACATTTGGGCTGACGACAATCACTTTACCGCAATATAAGCATCAACCTTCAGGCCAACGACGATCACTTTACCGTGATTTAAGCATCAACCGATGGGTTGATGATGATTTGTTTGTTTTGATTTAAGCATTGACCTCTAGTTGACGATGATTATAATTTTTTCGATCTAAGCATCGATCTTCCGATTGACAAAGATATATCTGTTTAAATATAAGCATCAATCTCCGGAGCGAGTGAAGATCTTCCTATCCTTAATCTAAACATCAGCTCCCGAGTTGATGATAATCTTACGCCTTCTCATATATAGATGTAGTCTTATCTCTTCTATATTCCTTTTTATTCCTCGACAAACAAAATTAGGGTCCTTCTATATTTAATTGTCTTCCATCATGAGAATATGAAACTAACATCGTTCATCCTCTCCGATTAAAGATATTTAAATAAGGTAACTGTCACACCCTAAATCTTGCCTACAATTTTTTATTAGATCTTTATATTTTGAGTCATCATTTATGTCACTTTATTATGCCTAGGACAATCACCCTTATTTGAGACATATGCTTTTGACTACGTATCTTGCATTTTGTATGAGTTTTTGGTTCATCTGATTTACCTGAATGGTTTACATTGGCCTGAGACAAAGGTCAACCCAATTAACTAAAAGTTAAAGGGGACTATTTTGAATTTTATCCATTTCTTTATTTATTTATTTCATTTTTTACTTTATTCACATTTTCACCAATTTCATTCATTCATTCATTCATTCATTATTATTATTATTATTATTATTATTATTATTATTATTATTATTATTATTATTATTACTACTTATTATTATTCATTTA